CCGAGGAGGAGAGTCGGGGTGGATGATGGTTATCACGGTGTTACTCAAGGCACTCGAACCAGCAGCCATTTTGTTTCATTGTCAACGCAGGCCAGCTGTTTGTTTGTTTGTTTGTTTGTTTGTTTGTTTGGTGTTTGTTCTCGTCATTCAAAATGTTCCGCTCTCGACTGTTGTGTCTCCTCAGCAGTGTTTCAGAAACACAAAGTGGAATTTGTTAGAGTCGAGCTTCAAATACATCTCAGTGTCCAGAGAGGCAGGAGAAAAGAAAGAGTTTGTAAAGATACAAATATGGGGGATTGTCTTTTCAGGAGGGGAGAAATGTCTTCTTTGAGTGCAGAGGATTGTCCATTTGTTGGTTTTCTGCAAAGATAAGAAACACATCTTGAGTTTAGATAAAATACTGTATGATATAGAACTCCATTAAAAGACTTTTTGTGTTGAGGTTATAAAATGTTTTAACACAGAAACAAACGTTCAGTTCAGTGAAAAGTGTAACATTTGCTGCAGCTCATTAATCTCTCTTTTCTTGTTTTTACAATCAAACAGTCAATCAAGAGCGTTCTTGGTTCTCCTTCATTCCAGTGTCAGTCTATGATTGAAAAAGGTCAAACAGGGAATCCAGCAAGAAAGAGTGTCTGTTGGTGTCAACCCATAACATGCCTTTCATTATAGCGTACGTGACCCTTTGAAAAGTCATAAAGAGAAACTTAGTGGAACAGAGTTTATAGCACCGTCTATTCTTTGTCTTTTTCACACCAAGTTTGCTTTGTGTGTTATAATCTTTTTTAAATACATTCCTAAAGATTGTCATGAAATCTCACAACATTACGACATGTGGTTGTCAAACTTTCTGCAGAAACCATTCAAAAATGTCTATTCTTAGCCGGTGATTCAGATTGCCTCACTTTAAGAGATTCAAAGTTGTTTAAGGAAACACATTTTTAATATTGGGAGGTGGGGCATTTCTTTTTATTTAAACTACAAAAATTATTTTGATAATTTATTGTTTAATTGCACATAATGCGTGCTGTTTTCTCTCTGCTCCAGTGGACTATATGCACTTTTATGTTTAACAGATTTTGATGCATTTTGAACCTCAGCTGTGTGGTGTCTTGTTGTCTACGTGTCAAATCAGACGTCATTATTCCAAGACTCTCTGTCCCTGCAGCTGCCTGAGCGAGGCCAGCGCGAATGTAGAAACATGCATAAGTACTTTGTGCATGTAGCAGTCATACACTCTCTCGAACTCACTCACTCATTCGCACACACATAACCCTCCCACCTGTGCTTGGTTCAGTTTTGCTCTCTAAAAATAACGATGACTATCAAGCCACAACTCCTGGAAGAGGCTTTTAAAAATGCAGATGAGCCGCAGAGGACTATGCATCTGGTCTCAGATCGCTCTGCAGCGAGAGCCAGAGATTTGATATGCAAAGAAGAGAAACCCAACAGCTGGTCAGTGCAAATAATAAAACACATACACACACATAAACACACACTTGCATGTATGCAGCAGAGCCAGGGGTTCCGGCAGAGGAAAGAGCGGTGACAGGAATTTTGATTATAATGTAAACAGAAGGGAGAGTATTTGTTTTATCCAGCTGAAACAGTACAATCTTCTTATTTTGAAGATCTAACCCTGAGCCAAACATCCACACTTACTCAAATCATGTTCATCAAAATGCATTAACGTGTCTGAAGTACATTCATGTTTGGGTTTGTGCACCCTATACACTCTTAAGACAAATCTTTAAAGGTTCCTCTGCACTGACAGTACAATACACAGTATTCAGTACAAAAAGTACTTTACAAGGAGTAAACTGATGGTGTAAGCCCAGGACAAACCAATTATCTTGTTCTTTTCTCGGAGAAAGCTATGTTGGATGGATAAACAAACAGGAATGTCTTGCGATTTGCTGCTGTTCAATGCATCAACATGAATTAGTCCAAAACAATATGACAAAATGAAACCTTTCTGACCTTAGTCTCAGCAGAGAATAAACCTTATACAATCTGACATGAGGTCAAGGTTTCAAATGGTTTTATCCACCTCCTGCAAAACACGCCCGCTTAGATTTTACAGCTCTCAGAAAACTTAAAAAAGATGTTCAAATATAAAGTTTTGAAAACATCATGGGAATCTGTGCATTCTGTGAGGACTAATCCACATGACGCACACACAAACACACATGAACACGATGTCTTTGATGTTCCTATAAGACCCTTTCTGACCTCATCTCTCTCCTAGAAATGTGTCGTTCAGGTCCCCTTCAGGCCTTGAATTTTCTAGCACTTTCTGTGGCGGCCCCTGCAGAGCAGATGATAACAGGCAGAGCAGGCAAAGTGGTAGGTAATAATAACTGCCGTGCTGCATTCAAGGACACTCCACGCTCCACGTGCAGGGGCCTCTGCATTCCATCCCTCAATGGCTGCTGCAGACGCCACTGGAGGTTTAATTATAATGTGGTGAGGAACACCTGCAGCGTGCACATTGCCGGGGACTGCATATGTCTGGATATTGTAACTTGGATATGTTGTATGTCGCGTTGATAGAGTCAGAGCATGTGTTGGAGCGTTTGTGATGTGCCGATTCCTGCACAGTTCAAAAATAATGTGTAACTCTCGTCACTTTGCAACGTCTATGACAGTTCTAGAACTGTGTGTGTGTGTGTGTGTGTGTGTGTGTGTGTGTGTGTGTGTGTGTGTGTGTGTGTGTGTGTGTGTGTGTGTGTGTGTGTGTGTGTTGTGTGTGTGTGTTTGTGTGTGCGTGCGTGTGTGTTTGAAATATGTTAGTAACCTCTTGTCAACCTCTTGTATTTCCTCAAACCAACGACTCAGAATCATCTCAGCATTTTATCAAATAACGCCCCCTTAAACTTTTTTTTTCCTCCAATTAAACACTGATCTTAGATGTTGACATTTTGTTTTGAAGGACTCTCTATCTGCCTGTTAGCAAAACTAAATCAATAACTCCTCTAATAGAAAAACCATGAGGTATGAAAGATAAAAATCACAAAAACAACATCTGCCATTGTTCCTGTTTACTAATCTGCAGATGTCTTAACACACACGCTAACAGGCACATGCCTGTGCTCTGCTACTGCTGCACAGGTAATTAAAGCTCACTCTAAACACAAACACACACACGAGTACACACATGTACATGCACTGACACACACACAGGCCCGTGTGCCTGACCCTAACCCTGGTACACACACCTTCCTAATACCTCACAACTGTTTCCAATCTAAAGGTTCCTGCATGTCTGGGCCCCGGCGGGGCCTGATTGCACGATACAAGATCATGAGGAGAAGGCAAGGCTGCAGGGGAGAGAGAGAGAGAGAGAGAGAAAGAGAGAGAAAGAGAGAGAGAGCGATATGCCTCCACTTATTTCTCTTCACTCTCCCTTTCTTTTCCCTTTCATCCTGTACCTGTGCAGCAATCTGGTGTCTGTTAAAATGGTTGAAAAAAAGCAGAGCCTGTGTGCAGTGTATCCTACAGATTGTGGAGGAAAACATTTGTCCTGAGCACATCAGAGGTCTGTCAAACACTGCACAGTTTAGATTACAACGATGATAACGTGCTCATAGTTCATCTCAGTTATTAAAGGAGAGAAAACCAATGAGCTTCAAATGCTTTCTTTAAAAGAAAGCTCAGACTTTTAAAATCTTGATCAAACTTATCTGAATAATTATTTTATTAAATTATTTTTATTAAAGCCAATAAATCAACTTCCACCTGACAGAAACACGTAACAGTTGCTCCTGTTGACTAAGGATCGATTTTGCAAGTACAGAATGTTTGTTTGCGGCGAGCTAAGTTCATGTACATGGCAGTGTTTGGAAGGAATTTAAAGATATTCTTATTACTTGGCTTGTAATTAAAATACTTGCTTTTACTACATAAATCTTAATTTGTCTTTATTCATCATTCATTATTTATTTTGGAATTCTCCATTTGAAGCATTTTGTATTTTTATCTTTCAGAAAAATGTTATTGAAGTTATTTATTGCGTGTAAGTTTGCTTTTCTTTTGTTGTATTTATTTTATATTTATTTTAATTTTATCTTTCAGACTACATGTTATTGAACAAGAAAGTTCTTTGCAATAATTCCAACAAAAATGAAAATGAACCAACCCAATACTTGAGTTCATACGAAAACATACTTTTTACAAGTAACGTAATATTTATTAACCACATGTAACCACAAATAAATGCTTTGTTCTACTTTATAAAAAAGTAAGAAAAAATTGAATTCCTGTGGAAGTGTTTTTTTTTGTGTGATTATCTCACGAGAATGTATTTAGGACTTTGTTTGAACTAATAAAAAAATAAAATAAAAAAGAATGTTATATTTGTTTACAATTTTAGAGTTTCACAGATTAAAGCTCACAACCCTTCACTCATCACAGTCATAATGATCAAATCGTATATGTAGACATACTATGTGTGTGTTAAAAGACCAACACAGCATGTGCTGATGTTAAATCAGAGATTTTATTATCACTTCAATAACATGCCTGTTAATGCAAAGCTGAATGAATGTGCTTTATAGCATTGTGCTGTAAATCCCTCAGTCTGAAAGTATCTGTCATCAATTCATGTTTGACAGAGATTTTAAAAGAAAGTTAACTTCATGATGTTTTAATTTAATCCTTTTAACTGATGGGGACGTTTTAAGAGATATTTTGCCCTGTGACCTGCAGAGATTTGCAGATTATTTTTTTATTCTTATGTATATATTAAGCTCTCTGTTTTACTGTTCATCTGAGAGAGTACAAATAATGTATTGAAACAACATTGAGATAATTTTGATCCTAAAAAGAAACATCAAAACATGCTTAACATGTGTATCCATGTCCATGAGCTGATGACGTAATGGATACAGAAATGTGTGAGCACATGTGCATGTTTGTGTTTGAATGATTTCTAGATGTGTACATGCATGTTAAGTGTAAGTGTGCATTTTTTTGTGTTGTTATATTATTCATACCTGATTGGCTGCAGCGGGGCGTCTTGTTGCTAAGGACCAAACTGGAGGACAGACAAGGGAGTGCATTGGAAACAATGCAGAGGAACGGGGTGTAGAGGTGGAAATAACTATTAGGGAGCACATAGACAAAGCAAGAATATGTGCAGGGGTTTCAGATGAAAAGGTGAAGATCAGGCTGACAGGAAGGCAGTCAGAGGTCGGGAAACGGGTGCGGGACAAAGACGGAGGTGTGGACACAATAGGGTTTTAGGTGAGATGGTTTCTGTGGGATCCTAGTGGCTCGCAGACATGGCCCAGGCCCCCTCCATCCTCCACACGGAGAAGGCATAGCTCAGTCTTTCATGGGCCAGGTAGTTGCAGCTTGCCAGCTTGGCGTCCATTTCATCGCTCTGCAGCACCTGGTACAGGAAGTCAATGTAGCGCGAGGCCAGCTTCAGGATCTGGATCTTGCTCAGTTTGTCTGAAGGTAACGTTGGGATGATCTTGCGCAGGGAAGCGAAGGCATCGTTCAGGGACTGAGTGCGTTGGCGCTCCCTCACGTTGGCGATGACACGCTGGGAATGGAGGTCCTCAAAGGGCTGGTCCAGCCGGGGTCCCAGCGATGTTGGGGCCAATGATACAACAGTCGTAGGGCTTTTCTTCACCCTCTTTGGCACAGATGGCAACAGGCTGTTTGGGCTGCCGGTGCTACTCTCCTCCGCCTGGGCAAGGTTTTCCTTCTTGGGGTAAGGCGAACGTTTTCGATTTCCTTGCTGGTTGCTCTTCTTTGATCCTCTTTCCAGTTCTTCTTCACTCGCCCCCAGACCTCCTTCTGGAGAGTTGGTGCAGGACACCTCTTCTCTCATTGTATCGTCAGCCAAAAACCTTTTAACCTCCACTGCAGGACACTGTGATTCTTGACAGCTGAGCCTGACAACCTTGTGTAGCAAAAGGTCTTTCAAAAAGTTATGGCTTCTGGAACTCCATCAGATTGGACGTTGTTCCTGCTCTCCTGTTTCCTTGTTACCTTTCTAAACCTCTCACTTTCACATCCCTCTCTAGACCTGACAGACAGAACAACAACAAACCATCTGACAGGCAGGTCCACCTCCGCCTCTTTTATACCCCAAAATCAAACCAAGGGCCTGCGGGCAGTTCTCTATGGCTCAGCGGACTTCCAGAGGGCGTGGTTCGGCCTTAGCCAGGCAGAGAAGCAGGAAGTGTGTTAGCTGGGCGGGCGGTGGAGGAAGGGGGTAAGTGGCCCTCTCGGCCAATAAGAAGAGCTGTGTCTAATGTTGCAGGGATGTCTGAGGCTTTATGGGTTCCAGATTTGGGGCTGAAGCGTCAGCCCCTGTGTCTGCATTCCCCTTCATTGAAACATTATTAAGACAGAAATCCGTCTAAACGTGTCATTTCTGAGCGTTGGTGATGCAAACGTTTATATTGAACACTTTTATCTAGTATCTTTGTAAACTCACATGACTAAAAAAAAAATATGTCCAACAAATCTTTACAAATGAATCCTGTGCGTTGATGTAAAGTGCTTCTCCCTTTGACATGCAAAACAAGCTTCAGTTCACACTTATATTTGTCTGCCATGTTTTTGAAGCGGACATTAGAAATTTCAATCTGTTTAACATAAAGTGGACTGCATCAATAAAAAAAAAGATTGCAGATTAAAGAAAGAGGAGTCATAGGCTAAACAATGCATTTTAGGTATAGAAAGAGAGTTTATATGGAGGGCAAATCATACATTTAGCAATGAAATACCCTAATGTCTTGCAACACCTGAGTAAAAACATGTATAAATCTCTCTACGTGGTTGTGCAAGCAGACATCCTGGAATTGATTCAAAAGATTATTTCGTTTTTTTCTGACTTACAATTGTTTCTGTACACACATCTTTACATCCAATGTTTAACACTGAAACCTCATCTCATCTCAAATCCGACCAATCCATTCAGAAATACTAATCTATGTTTAAATAGCTCAAACGTTCACTACTGACGTCAGCTGTCCAAGTAACCAGGTGGAGAAGGGAACACAGACAAGGACCCTGAACAACCTCTGACCTCAGTGCCCCGGTGACCTCGGTCTGCAGAGGTGAGAGAGCACCTAATTGTGCCATCCATGGCTTCAGGGCAGCGCCAACACATGTTCCACCTCCAAACCGTGAACCCATGTGCGTCTGCAGCCACTTAAACACACTCACTGACATGTGGACAGTCATGACACAGCAGACTTCTCGAGAAAATGACAAGACATGGCCTGGTGCTATTTTAAAGGTAGACTCTCCTTTTTTACAATAACTGGCTACATGTTGCGTAAAAACTTCTGAATCAATTTCCCAACACTGTGCCTATTTGTACCTTCATGCGTCATGACATGGGTGAGTCATGTGTGGATCACTGCAGAGAAGTCTTGTGGGGAGTTTTCCGCTACCCTAAGCTGTAGAAATCTGGTACTTTTTGATGACAGCATACTTAATGGAGGCCTTTACATTTCAACACCTCCAAACATTTTTTACTAGAGTCCTTGAATCTTTCATGTTCAAGAACTTTCCAGATATGTTTCAATCAAACACATGCAGCGACAATCATTTGCTTACAGAAGAGTCTTGGGTTGGAGCTAAGCTTCGTATAATTCTCGATACACTGCTTGACAACTTCTCGCCGACAATTTGGGCGTGATTACTGCGGCGTTTGAAGGAGTGTCTGTGCGTGGAGCAGTTCAGAAGATTTCTGATGAGCCTCGTGATTGTGCTGGTTTACATTTCATTCAAGAGCGGGAATGTAGCTTGATCCCAGTTGGGTTCAATCAACTTGGAAGAGAAAAAAAAGTCATCTGGACATCCAAGCAAGCAAGCAAGCGAGCAAGCAAGCAAGCGAGGCTGTGGACAAAGACAACGAATCATACAAAACTCAAATTACATAACGAGCAAAGTCAATGCCAGGATTAACTTGTATTTGAATTGGGGCTTATTGGGAGCTCTGGAGGACAGCGGAGGGACAGGAAAGTCATTGTTACAAAGGCTAATCTTGCAAGCTGCCGCTTACCTTTAGCAAAAGCATGGCGTCGTGCCACCAGCATGGAAAAAATGAGCTAACAAAGCGTGTAGGCCTGCAGGAATGTCGTGGCGCTAAGAAGAAGAGAAGGAGAGAGGAAGAGAAGGAGAGAGAGAATGGGAGAAGAATAAGAAAAGGGGAAAAGAAAAGGAGAAGAAAGGAAAGGGAGAAAAGGGGAAAAAAGTGAGGCTGTCCAAACAGAACCAGATGCAGGAGTGTGGAGGCTCGTTTGATCTCTGTCCTCATAGGCTGATTGATGTTGCACATTTCATTTCCTTGTCAGAGTCTTGACATAATGTTTCACTAAACACTCAGGCCGTGCTCTCGTCTTCTTTTTATTTCTAAGGGGGGGTTCGTCATTAACCCTCTCTGGAGCTGAAAATAGATCATACACATATCAATATATATCAATATATATTGGCTTACATACGCACACACGGGGGGAGCTTGAATATCAAAGAGAGTCAGTGTATTGTCTGTTTCTGACTCTCCAACATATGGTTCAGTCCTGAAATACTGCACTGAGGAGGACGTTGAAACTTTTGAAGTTCTCCAAGGGAGAACAAAAAAAAGGAAAACAGTTTCTTTAAGTTTGTAATGCAGTCAATTCAATTACCATCATACACACAAAGGTTGGAGTGCGGCAGTGACGTCGTCAGCTGGTAGGAGCACCGCAGTGTGACTGATCATAAGTGATGTGTTTGGAAACCTGCGCTGGCTGGACAAAAGGAACTAATCATTCAATTCCTCCTCACCTTCACCCCTGGAGTTTCCTCACCCTCGTCACTGGTGTTATTGATGTTTGCCCATAGCACACTACACCACCAAAATACCCACCATGGCTCCATCCCTCCAGAGGAGCCTAGAGTGGCACAAAGGCAGACATCTGGGACCCATTTCCCCCCCTGGAGAAGCCCTTCCTGTGGGGTATCCACTTAGAGGGGTTCAGGAGGAGCAGGAGGGGGATGAAGGGGTGAAGGTGAATGGTATGTGGGGGATGGTGGTGATGGGACTGGGGAGGGGTGAAGGTGGGGATTTTGAAAACTAATAAAGTGGAAAGGAGGTGTTAAAGATACGCCAACTTAATAAAGAATGTGGAAGGATAGATTCTGAGGTCAAAAAGTCACACTTATTGTCAAGTCAGAGATGGGGGGAAATCAATACCATTCTTAAGTTTGTTTGAGAAATTAAAAAGCTGGAGCCTGTAGCTAGTTAGCCTAGCTTAGCAAAACAAAGAAAATCAAGGGAGAAACAGCTAGCTTGGCTCCTTTCAAATAAACTAAATAAAATCACTAAATCTAAATCTCACTAATTAGCAAGCTTCATCTTGTCTCTTTAATCCCTAACAAAATCTAAAAATAAGTGTGAAGGTGGTTTCAATCGTCACGACTAACTTTCTGCAAAAACATTACCCAGAATGTCAAACTATCAGTCTTCAGGTTACATAGATAGCTGAGCGTCATTTATAGTCGTTATAACCTGTATTATAACTTTAAAAAGCAATAGAGAAAGGGATGTGCACTTTGGGGTTGTTTCAAGTCATAAAGAGTCCACATTCATTACCTGTGTTTTTACCTGTGTTTTTGAAGTTAATACAGACCTTTCAGCCATTTGTACAATATTCAAATGTGACGGTTGTTGGGTTGTTTGCCGGTGTTGTTGGGCCACTGTCAATCAAATCTGACCAAACTACACTCAAGAATCCTGACTTAGAAGCTCTATGAAGAAATAAGATCTGTGTTCAACTTTGAATTAAAAAAATAATTGATGATTTTTTTGTTGTCATTTTGATTGGCTACGAGAAGATTCTATCATGTATATCTATAGTTACAGTAATTTAGGATTTGAAACCAAGGGCTGATTGCTCAGGATGAAAAAAATGATATTTGAATATTTTTATATATTTTTTCTTTAAAGCCCTAAGACACCAAAATGAACTTGAGGTGGGACATTTAAAAAATATATATTTATGTTTAAAGATACTTTTAACATGTTTTTCAAATATAAAAGTGCAGTGCTGAATCAAAACCCTCCCCTCCCCCGCTGCGTGTGAGCCTCTATTATTCTTCCTTAGCTGTGACTTATCTTCTCGTATTAGAGCGTAATTTATCATAATATTTAGTGCTCAAGCTTCCTTCAAATGTTCCTGCTTTCATGTGTAATTTAGCCAATATCCTGCTCTGGCTCTGATTACAGACTTTAAGTTCTGGGGTTGGTCCATGGCACATTACAAACAGTCCCAGTGGAGCTCACAGCTGAGCTGGAGTATGCTGAGCAGCAGGTTAGAAGACAGTGTGGTGTGGAGGGGAGAAACAAAGCTTGATGATTACTAGGAGACCTCCATCATTAAAACAAATTCTTTTTTTTTCAATTGTGAAAGCTTCATAATTATCAAACGCAATCACAATAATCTAGTGATAAGAAACAGGTTTGGGGTTTTGAGGTTGAGAAAAAAACCTCCCTTTTGGTAGTAAAACAGCTGTAAGTGTCAGAATATGGTCCAACCAATCACAACCCAAAAGTCTATATTATTATCCATGACTTGAAACTGTTCTTTAAGGCATCAGTAAGTCATTTGTTACAACATATGAAAATTACACAAAAATTTGAGGCGTGCTTCGAGCCGCGTGTGAGTGAGTGTGAAGATTGCTTGAACGTTGCATCATATCACGTCCATATGGGCAAGTAGCAGGTCACATGATCACCACGTCATATATTTTAGCTCTTTGCATTTTAACCAAAACAGAAAAATCAGCACATTTTATTTTATAATCCTGCTGATTCTAATCAGACATGGCAGTTAGACGCTGACGTGATGGAGTATATATATAGTAAATCATCAGATGAAAGTCCTCTTTACTGCTGAGTCAGCTCCTCAATGTGTAAGGTTCACTTTCTTTGTAAACACTAATAAGACTGTGAGCGAGTCAGCAGATCAGAGCTGACTGTGTAGACACATGGGTTGGAAAATGTTGCTTCAGCTTGACATTTGAAGATGAACTTATCAAATCTAAAAACGGCAAAACCTGTGTATATGAAACCCCAAAAAAGAGGTTAAATGGGGATCTGAATATTCAAACTAAAGCAATAAAGATCCTTAGGTAAAACATGAAATCAAAAGCACTATTAAGTAAATATGTACCTGCATGTTCTTAAGTTACATTTATATTGTGCAGTGAGTGTTTTAAAGCTGATTTAAATGTGACTATTTTGATACTGTAAGGGCGATGAAACACCTTTTTGACTCTGCAAAAACAGCCTACACCACAAATCAATTTGAACATAACATCCTCAGATATGGCGCCTATCAGGAAACCCAGACTCCGCCGTCTCCAGATTCACAAATCAAACACTGCGTACTTGAAGTGGTGTCAAACTGGGGATCTTCAGGATTGGGCCATATCACGCATCCTCTCCTGTCAAAGTAATAGTGAAACTCTGTCTGCAAGGTAGAGAGGAATGCTTGCGTTCCTCCAGCAGAGCAATTGCATTAGAAACATCAACAGAGACCAGCTTCAAAGGGGCACGCCTTCACATTGAATCAATCCCTACTTCCATTAGACTAGATGAATTTAGTCAAAGTTACATAGCGCTAACATTTCTTTATGGTTCCACAAATCCCTTGCTCTGGTTCTGGTTCCCCCTGTGAAGCCACTTCAAACGGGCTCTGCCATGGCATATCCCTTTGTGCTCTAAAACAGTAAATATGTGTCTCTCTAAAATGTTTCAGATGCGAGTTCACAGTGGTCCCAAAGGCACAGACAGCATCGCACACAGAAGACGCAAGAGACAGAGGAGGATAAAAAAAACAAAAACAATAAGCTGAGTGTAAAGGTAGAGCTTCAGGGAGTATGGCTGACTGTTGCATGATGGGAGAAGATGATAAAGATTGATAAATTCAGGGGAAAGAGGGGGAGAAGAAAGGAAAGGAAAAAGCAGACAGTGTGGGAGAAATCCTGCAGCAGTAAATCAGTGTGGTAATAAGAAGAGATGGGGGGGGGGGGCTGCTAACATATGTTTCAGTTTGTAAATAAAACAGTAAATTGCTATGGATATTGCTTAAATATCTGTGGGCTTTGTACCATGCTTTGCGGAAGTTCCTCGGAAATCATTCTGGGACGGCCTTCTTAAAATGCCAAAGCGGCTTCTTAATGTCAAAGAGGCCATCTGGTTCTCGACCAATTCAAGATGTTTGCTTTTCATTTAGCTTTTTTCTTCCCTCCTGATGCTTCTTTTTTTAGATCAAATGCTGCACTTTTTGCTTTATTGTTACCATTGTTCATATTTCACAATGGATCTGTTGGTGAGCACGCACAGACCCCCGCCCTCCTCTGAGTGCTGGAAAGTTACTCTTAAAGTTACTTTTACTCAAGTACTCAGAATCGTCTACTCCCCTTAAGTGTTTCCTGTGTTTGTATCTTTATGCCATCTACAGCTTGCATAGTCATTTTTTTTATAAATATTTTTACTACATAGCCTTTATTATTGTTTAACTCTGAGGCTTAACATGTTATCTACCCTACAAATGACCAAGTGATAGAATGTGATAAATAAGCATAGATTACTGTAAATCACATTGTCACTTCAACAAATATTGAGTTGCGATCATATCAGCGGTAATAATTTACAACTAATGAATGAGCCACACGGCAGCCTCAATAGTACTGTCCCTCTGGATACTTTCATTAAATGATGTTGGTAAACACACGTTGCTTTATTCACTGAAACTAAATCGCGAGAGCAGGAATGAAAGATCTCCAAACTTCTTCCACCAATGCCTTAGATAAAAAGATGAAAAAAAAGATTGGGAAATATGCAATAAACAGGACGCTGACAACTATAGTAGAGTATATTATTTAGGAACTAATATAAGGTGGCATTGCTTTAACTGTTTCTGTAAAATACAACAACTCTATTACAAGTGAAATAAGAATTCAAAATGTTACTAAACATGCTACAGTACATGATTAGTCCAAAAACGTGTGCAAGGTAAAAGCACATTATTGGACCATGAACATACACGCATTCATATGAGTAGTACCTCACTGTTGCAGTTAAGACGAGACAGTGGGAGTAGATTGATCTTTTACAATGCATCATATCTCATCATACTTTATGTAAAATATGAATCTCAAATGTTGCTGAAACCTTCAAATAGGAGGTACAAAGGAGAACATTTCTCTCTGAGATGTAGTCAGGTTTATGAATGGAAGATTAAGGTGGCAAATAAAAGAAATAGCTCCAGCAGCACTTCATCAGGGTCATTTCTCTCTTCATGCACCTTGGTGGTCGGTGAAGTTGTGACAGGAAACCCTTTTCTGTTTCTTCATAGAAAAGAAATACCCACGTAAAGTACAATAAGAAGTAAGTGTTACGGTCAACCTCTCACTGATAGATGTGAGTAGTATTTATAATGAAAATGTCCAGGTTAAGAAGAGAGGTATGTTTGTGTCTTTTCCGATCCTTTGATTCTGACATCATCTGCATGAAAGGTGTGCATGTGTGCACAATGAGAGCTGAGGAATAATATCCGCTGTAGGTTGTTTGTTACAGGTTCGGTTCAGCTGCTGTTGCTCTTGACTTTCTAATTGTACAGGATGTTTAGGATACTTTTGTTATTTGAATGCATAAACTATTGTTTCCACTCTCACCACACTGTGCCAGACTGCCAGTCAACACTTGAGACAACTTCCTTCCTTGATTTGGGTAGAAAGGAGTCCCATAATTGAATAAAACCAGACCCCTCCCTCCCTCTCTTTACATACCACACACACACGCACACAATACGCACACACACGTTTTACAGGCTGGTGTATAAACTTAATAGGACGCATTTGGTTCCAAAGCCCCCAGCTTGCTCAGTGGAAAGTGAGCCGGATTGTTTTTCAGTTTCTTAATGTCGAAGTTTATGACAGCCAGATAAAAAATGTTGCCATGGGGATTTAACCACAACATCGCAATTACCTTGATGCAATGAGACTCTGGAGGCTTACAAACAAACCAGTGTAATGCAATTAAGATATAAGTACCACCAAAAATGTCCTTTAAACACACGAGGACGGATGCAGGACAGCATCAGTGAAATAATGATAGTGTCTTTTTTAAGATAAAAGCTCCTGATAAATAATTAAACTCTTCGTGCCAGAGTCACTTTCATTAAGACTTTTTTACAAGAGATTTTCCTAACAGCTTCAGATTGGATTCAACAAGATATTGTTCTGTAAATGAATAACTACATGACTATTAATGCACCAAACACTGATTGTGTCGTTATAAATTCAGTCACACATTTTTTCACATCAACTTCAAAGTCTTTCTATCAGGCTGCTGCTTGAACAAAATTATGCACCAAAAAAAAAACAACTCCTCTTTGAGGGACAAAATAGAAAAGTGGACGGATGGAATAATTGCCTGACTCAGGGTTGGTGGGAAATGTGGTTTGTTCCTCTTATGGTTAAAACCCCCCCCTATAATGCCCAACACCGACCGTCCTGGGCTGAGCATAAAGAATCACATGTAGCACCTTAATCTGCCTGTGTGACACTTTTTTTTTTTTTTTTTAATGAGAGCCACAGCACTTTATGTAGAAAATGATCAACGGTTTCTAATTCTGCTAGTATCATTCCTTTTGAAAGCACAGAGAAATCAAACGATTCAGAGGAACAGAAACTGTAGAAAGGGATACTGCTTCCTATTAAAAAAAAGAGGAACAATTAATACCTGCTGACATCTCTATTTTCAAATCCCTAACACAAAAAAACACAACATTACACAGCAGAATTTGAAATAAAAAAAAACATATTTATTAATGTGATACTCAGACACACTCTTGTACAAACACACACGCCTACAATCAGTCAGGGTGATACATGGTGATACACAATGCTTCATCTCTGATATAGTCATGTACAGAGATGTAGATTTAAAGAAAATATGGCAAAGTAATCTCATTAAGCAACAACATGAGTGTCATACATCATTCACGAGGACAATAAAACATTAATGCACACGAGTGGCATCACTAATATTGTGAATTAAAGCCATACATGAAGCTTAATCCTACACTCCCACTTCTGTTCGTAAGTCACAAAAATAAAAACAATATAAAAGTCATTCATTATGTTACAAATGCCCGTTAATAGTTCTGCGATACATTGAACTAGAACATGTGGTTTGATTTGGACTTGCACATGAAAGCATTCATGTTGATGCAGCAAGGATTTAAGTTCGACCTGCTCCTCTGCAGGACCCTGACACGGTCCATCAACCATAAAACGCTTTGTTCTCCGCAGGATAGACGCTTTGTGATACGCAGATTTCATCACACACATGTGCAACTCGTGGTGAAAAAAACCCAGAAGTCTTCATTTTTTATATTGAATTGGTAGAAATGTAAATACTATGTATCGATACAAGTCATGATATGTATTGTTCATGGTGTTTTATTGTTGGAACCATGACTCCCTCTAGTGGCTACAACATGAAACTGCAGCTTATTATTACCACTGTGTTATAGCACAGGAATTCCCTTCACTGAGTCATGGTTAAAAATAATTTAGTTTGCTGTGAGACAATTATGGAGATGCATGGCAAAGCGGGCTAAGGTAAGGAAAAATAAAAATTCACTGTTGATCATTTCAAACAGGACTGTCTTTAAAGTGGCACAGCCAACAACAAACCCTGCACACATTATGAAAGCAAAAGAAGGTTTAGAGGAGACACTTGCCAAAGATCAAGGTGCTTATCCACACTGTAAATATATCATCCTCTCCTCTGATTTCTCTTAAAAAGTCCATAATCACTGCTTGCTGTGAGGCCAGCAGTAAGTTCACTCCAAGTTCTGTGTACTTACATGATGCGGTATGTATAAGTGTTCTTAAAAGTCACTGAGGATGCTGATATCAGCAAACTCTTTGCGGTAGCGGTGAGCGCTCAGGGCGAGCAGGAACGACCACTTCAAGCTCATGAAGCTCCACACACAGGACAGGTAAAGGCTTCTGGGGTCAGTCAGGGCTGTTGGAGGGAGAAACACAGTTTATCATTAAGTCTAGTTTTATATTCACATGCCTGTCCAAACATGAAATATATTCTCTAGAAAGGTCTTGACATTGCTGGAGTACTTAACTGCAAAGACTTTCAACATGATGTTGGGACCTGGCTGAAGGATTTACTCACTTACTAGATCACACTGCTATGTGAAAAGTCCAGGACCCGTTTTTATCATACATTATAAGAATACAAATTAAGACAACTTTTAAGATTACAATTTAAAAAATGTAAAGTTCTTCAAACCTTTATAAACAACTTACTCCTGAATGAAGTTTGTTAAAAGTTAAGAGCGTCAATTAAGTAAGATTCAGAGCAACTTTAAGTGGTCATAGAATATCACATGTATGTCTTGAGAATGTGTGATGATTTACCCAGTGTCTGTCATTGTATATATATATATATATATATATATTTATATATATTGAGAGAGAGAGAGAGAGAGAGAGAGAGAGAGAGACTAACATTTTACTAATTAATGAAGGAATATCTTCTGCAAACTGCAAACAGAAATTTTATATTTTATACAGTATAAAAAATGTACTTTATTTTTCTTACGATGGATTTATTTGTTTGTTTTTTGTAATTGCATTTTAAATCTGTATAGCTTTCTATAAACATCTATTAGTTTATGTCAAAAATTTTAATTTTAGCCAATTAAAAAAAAAAGTACAAAAGAAAAAAATAAAGAAAATATAAGACACATTTAACTAACATTTAGATATTTGCTCAACATATTTCCTTCAGGATTGTTAAACGGCATTCTGGGAAATGTAGGTAGTTTGCATTAGGTACACACAACAAAAGCAGAGATGCAATGGGGACACCAAACTCCAGTGGTGCTCTCCAATTAGGTCACTCAGGATATTTTAGTTGTCCCAAATCTTTTTGGTATTTTTGTTTGTTATGACAATCAACAGTATGATGTGTATCTTCTGAAAAACTGGTTGACATATAACCCCCAGTTGTAAACGAAGAAAATGCCACAGTGAGTCTCCAAAAACGTCAAGATATTGACCTTTATATTTGTATAAAGGGTCTTTTGGTTAAGTGTGCTTCGTGTGATGACAGATAAAACTTTTCTGAGTGAACCCAGGTGAATTGTGCAGGAAAAGCAGCACACCGAGCTGTCTAAATCAGGACAGCCATGTAGAAGAACTTACACTCCTTATGGTGAATGGCAACAGTCAGGAAAGTGATGAATGCCACGACAGCCAGGACAGAGAAGAAAACCCCCATGAAGAGGAAGAATTTGAGGCCCTTCAGCCAGGTCCTCCAGTAGTCCTGCATGTACATAATGTGGGTGATCAGGGTCCAAAGAGCCAGCACACCTGAGGTACAAACACAAACAGCAAGTTAGCTTTTACAAATTGTTTCTCTAGAGATGAACACTGGAGGTGATTTTTTTATGTTTTGATAATTAAACATGATGCAGTTTCTTCAGTAGACAAAGTGAAAACCAACATTATTTGAAAACTGTTTCATCTTTGTTAAAGCCACATTAAAGTGTCATTGTAATGCAGATATAATAAGAACCCGAAACAACACTTTCCTGTTATTATTGTGGATGTTAAACAGCTGGTTGAGTTAGACTCTGAAAAAGAACAACAACTCCAGACTAAAAGAATGGATAAGCAATGCCTTATGCCTACTAAAGTAAGTGAAAATCAGGTGGGCTTCCTCGGATTTCTTCTAGGACGAAATTAAAATGGAACGTCTTTTTTTATGTCATGTCTTGCCTCCTGAGATCCAAGAGGGCAAACCTCAGGGTGTGGAGGACATGTATGAAGAGCAACTCATTCAAATTTCAGCAGCAGGCTGTCCTTCATTTCTTTAGAAATTTAATTTTCAGGAGAACATGTTTGAAAACAGCTAAGGAAAAATATTCCAAGCCGCTCTCTGCTGAAGAATAATGAGAAAATTTGAAATCTTGTAGAAACTCTTATGAATGAACAGAACCCAGTAGCAGTATACAGTCTAATGCTTTGCTTTGTTAAAAACTGAGTGTCAGGTGAAGTCGACTTTAAAGACAACTCACTCATACTGTAACAGCTGCAGACCAAAGTGTGGATGACCATTACTTTGAACTTACACACACAGCATGACACAGCGTGTTGTTAATTGCTGAGTCAGTGAATCACTTCTTCTTCCCTCTTATTTTGTAGCTTCAGTGTTATACATTTATTCTACATGACAGTGAACTTAACTTCTCAAGCAATCAGCAAAAAGCCTGACAGAGAATGGAAGTGATGTTTACACTTTAGTTGTTCCTGTGCAGGGTGGGGACACAATGTTCAATCCATTGCTACAATGATGGACCTGTTAATACATCTTCATTAACACTGGTGTTGAGAAAAAGAGCTTTTTTTATTTTATTTGAGTGTGTAGCAAACGTATTACCTTCTGTAAAATTAAACAGCCCTTAGAGATGTCATTCATATTTTAAAACTGTGACAACTTTTCAGGGAATGGGGTTAAATTCACGTATACATATAGGTTGAACAACCAATAAAATGGATCAACCAATAAAATGGATCAACCAATAAAATGGATCAACCAATAAAATGGATCACAGTACATTGTTGTGAGGACATTTAAGAGCAGGGGTTAAAGATATGAACCAGCAAACCTTGGTTCAAAGGTCAGCTCGATAGCATAAATTTGCTAAAGCCATAGACTGTAAATATTAAGGCTAACACTCTGACTAACTAACTAAGTAATATAACTACAGACCAACAGATAACTTCTAATGTCTGATGTGTGTATTTCTTTTAGTAACACTTTCATTTGCTTTACATTAGATCAACCATTCGCCCCCAGTTTTATATGCTTCTGTGTATTTTATTTTCAATTTTAGAAAAGATAATAGCAGACACATTAAACTATTAACCAAAGCTGACTGAAACATGGGTCACCTTTAATACTAAATATCAATGTCTTATTAAAACACTGAAGAAAACTGAAATCTTTTAGCTTCACATTTTCATTATTTATCAAACAGTGACCTTTATATGGTAAGAAGGTTTTTACTATTTAAAACACTTTTGTATACCTCCAATGTTATAGTTAGCTCCTACAGATGGTCCCAGAGTGTTCATGTGGGGGTCAAAGAAGAACCCATGTACTGAAACATGTTAGTTCTGAATAAACACATTTGCATCAGAACATGTTGCCCTTCCATCAAAAACATCAGAATTTCACTTGATTGTCTGACACACCAGAACAGCTGACATGTCTGCCCTTCACAAACAAGTTAAAGTGATCTCTGTTTAACTCTGGGCACCTTCAGTCCGAGGAGGGGGGTCAAGAAACCTACAGCTTTCTCCTCTCACTTACAGACACATACAGCTACATGTAGATAGCACATTGTTGACATTACCAGACAGTCCTCCCATGGCTGCAGTCCACGGCTGCTTGAACACGATGTTCCACACCAGGAAAGCGGAGAAGCCCATAAGCATCCCAAACGAGGCATATCCGATACTAATGTAAGTTTTATTAATGGCCATTATCAACACAACAAAAAAAAACAAAGGTCAAAGTGAAGCCGTGACAAGAGCTCGACAAGACGGGCGAGAGCAGCGATCTGATAATTTCAAAACAACAGCATCCGGGTGTTTTACAAAGAGACGCGAGAGGACAAAATGTCACTAACTATGAGTTTCCTGCTGACTAATTATTGTTTTCCCACAGAGGGGGAAAAGTGTGACATGACAAAGCGTTTCTTTAGTTTGTTCAATTTTTTTTATCAGCAGAAAAAAACACATCGCCTCATTCAACGTCATCTGATATTAACCCAAGAGATTACGCTAAATCCTACACGTTTAAATCACACAGCGCCCTCTAGAGGAGCTCAGCGGAAACACCACTGTTTTGTGCACATGGAGGATTTACCATATACTAGGTGGAGAAAAAAAATCATAATTGAAAAATTACTCTTAGTTCTTTTCAAATGTCTTTTTCATTTAACTGAGAGAATGAAGTTAATCGCCATCAAATAGGAGAATTTCATAAAACTGAGATGATATAATTGTATTTCAAAATTAACTACCATGATTTATTGAGCAACAATGCTCCGTTTAGTTCAATTCAATACTTTTTTTGGGACATCATATGTTTAGGTTTATAACTGTCTATTAAATAAAACACACTATTGCGTAGGGTCAGTGCCAAAATATGCTGGATGTTTCTTTGTCTGCTGTTGATTGGTTCAATCAAGCAGGTAGGGTGCTGCATAGAAAGCTTCTCAAACTCCAACCTCTAATTTAGAAATGATTAAAATTCCCTACAGGTCACCGCTTGTACATATCAAAATCAAGTCTACAAACAATTCTTACAAAATGTATTGAAGTCCTAAACCATTGTGTCTGATGATGTTAATATTGGGTTTGTTTTTGAGAGGGTCTTTGGTCTGAAGAAACCCAAACTCCACAAAGGGAAAGATTTCAGTCAACTTCTTTAAGTCTAATGCCAATGACTTTAGGGGTTAAATAGCATTTGTTATTGAACATTAAAACCTCCTTAAAAAAATGCTCGTTTTTTTGACCATGAAACTAGATAAAGCATCTCCTCTGGGTTGGCAGTAATTAACATTTAGCATCTGTAATGGTCTTATACCCAAGAACCCATTGATATAAAAACATCTAAACTTTGGTTGAAAGAAAATGGAATGAACTTCCAAACTCCATGTGATCTGCAGAGTCCCTCTGCACCTTTAAGAAAAAGCTAAAGACCCAGCTCTTTCATGAATACCTACTAACTTAATGATGATGGTCTCCATATTATTGATGATGATGATGGTAATGACGATGGTTTTTATTTGATAACGATGACTTATGAGATGGTTTCTATACTGATTAGAGCTCTCAAGAACTGTCCTCAATGTTGTGCTTTGCCTCTGGTCACTTCCTGTCAGCACCTGTGTGTCCAATCAGACTCAAAGCTGATCGTCTGCTCTTACTGACATTGTTCCCTTTTTTTCTAGATCCTTGCTTGTGTTGTACTTACTCTCTGATGTACGTCGCTTTGGATGAAAGCGTCTGCTAAGTGAATTGTAGAAAATCCAGTATTAACAGTGAAGGGGGGCTGGTTCTGTAAGAGCTGAATATGTTTTTTGTTGCAGTTCAAAGGTGAAGACCTGAAGAGTTCAAAGGTCATGTAAAGAGTGAGGAGATGAAAGCAGCCAGAAAGTGGGAGAGCGGTTCACAAGTGAATTATTTTGTTTTGTGCTTTTTTACAATACGTTTTATTTTGAACATTCAAATCTTCTCCTTAAAACCGGATCAAATGAGGATATTTCTGTTTCTTCAAAAATCCAATCAGACATAAAATAGGGCTTGAACTCTTCAAATTGAGGCAGATTTGTTTTACTTTCATCTGACATCACATGGACTAAATCATTAATCAAATGAATGAATAAGTGATAAGTAGATTAATCTGTTATAGAAATATTCTTCACATCACTAGCAGCCTTATAACAGGTGACAGGAGTATAGAATGGTAGGTAAACATGGCCAATAGAACATTTTATTAAACTTTGAAAAGCATTTAATATAATGACTCATCTCTCATTTCAAGGTTAGAGGAAATAAGACTCACCAAACACACATCTCGAGCTGCAATGAGAACTTACAGATGATCAAAAGAAGAAACTTCCTTGTAATAATGTACTGTGGGTCGTTTTCTTTAAAGATTACATTCAAGTCATGTCCAATCTGTAAAAACTCCCAACCATCACCCCGTGGGGAACATAATGTTGAGAATGAACGCAGTGTGACATCAGCTTATAACAGACTTGGCAAGTAGTAATAGAAGAAGAAGTCGTTCAACTTCTTCTTCATGATGTTAATGATGGCCTTGTCTCTGTAGATGCGTTGAACCAGTATGTCTTCATTGGAGACCGCCAGCAGATCACACCACGACATGCCTGCTACCATCATCTCTCCTTGGATCTGCCAATACAGAGAGTGGGTCTTCTTCAGCTGCAGGACTCCGTAGTTGCAGACCAGGAAATTGCCGTCGATGAAGCTCCTGGACTGGATGACTTTGACATGCACCAGCCCGAATTTGGGCTTCTCCTTGGGGTCATACACCAACCCATCAGGCTGCGACCCCAGCCAGGGAGCATGAGGATGGATGACCAGGCCGCATGGGGACCAGTTGACACACACATTGCGACAGTATTCCCGCAGTGCTTCAGTCTTCATCTCCTCATCTATCTGCGCCGTCTTGGACCGGCGGGTTCCATTCCGAATCTTAAATATCAGGTGCTCTACATTACTCTGTCCTGCTTTGAGTTTGCAGATTTCCCAAAAACGACTGGTAAGACGCAGCTTCCGCAGCTCCTCGGCTAATTCCTTGTGACCATGTGGAGGGCGTGTGGAGCTCTCCAGACTTTGTGCTGCGTCCAAGTTGATCTGCAGGACCGTTAAATGTTCCAGTTCTTTTGCACTGAGAGTAGGACAATCAGTCATTGGATCTAACATGTGTGGAGATAACAAGGGAAGCTTTGGGCGAGGGGGAGCGTCATCATGAATCTGATAATCCTTGCTTGAAGGCAAAGGGCACTGATACGACAATGGGGAACCCTTTGGGACTTTTCCAAAAGCACAGTCCACTGATTCAAAATTCTCAGTGAGGCCCATTTTTGTTATCAGAGGTTTTTGATCATCAGGGAAGTCCTTGTAGGCTTCAGTTAGCCTTGCCAAAAAAGAGTGGCAGTCAGCTGGGGTAGGAATAAGAGATTTGTAGGGCATCATCCTGAATAAAGAAAGGTTCCGACTGTTAGCACATAAGCAAGAAGGAAGCTATGCAGCGAAATTGTAGTTCACACAGTCTTAATAATCTTACCTTGGCATTTCTAGCACGGTTTTCTGCAGGGAGCGCCTCTTCTATTGTGGAGGAAGATTTCCACCAAATAAAGAAATGAACTCATTAATTTAAACTTTAACTATCAAACATAAACCTTGCAAAATAATCAAAACAGTATATACATTCATTAGGACACCAAGAGGTTTGTCAACTGTTTCATACCATCATTTAAAGTATGACATCTTAAATCAACTACATGCATTTATAAATACAGTTTAGTGTTGTACTGGAGTTTGTTTGGTTAAGGCTGACAATGAGCCCAGATTAGAGCTCAAGGAGTGAAACAGGAAATTATGCTGAATTTAAAGGTTGAATGGGTGAAGTATGGGCCATTCTAAACTTCTGGAAGTAATCTTTTTCAGACTAACTTTATTAAAGTCATCTGTAAGTGGCTTCTTGAAAGTGCATTCGAGTCCCACTGTACTCTCCCAAGGGGCTGTATCTTCAAATTCAGGATCATTTTTCCACTGATATACCAGTGACAAACAGATCTGGCAAAAGTTGAAACATCCTCACACCTGGGAAGGTCATTGTGGTTAACTGAGGTGTTCTTTATGCCGTTGCCCGTGTGGCATTTCCCTCTGGCAGGTCCCAGATGTGTGCCCTTGAGATCAGTGAGACCCACACACCATTGCCCACCCCAGGGTGCATCTGGAGTGCCTCATACGCCGAGTGAAGGAACACAAGTTCTTGACACAAAGATTACACTCTGGCTTTTTTTTAAACATTAGTTAGCTGTATGCCACGGCATGTCTCCTGACAAAATTTAAAAACAGGCCTTTTGTAATGACCGGGTCAAAGCCAGAGTAGATTTAGAATCAGGGCCGCAACTAACGATTATTTTCACCATTGATTAATCTGTTGATTTATATCAGGATTTATGGATCAATTGTTTGGTCTATAAAATATCTAAGAATTTAAAAAAATCCATCCTAGTTTCTCAAAGTCCACTTGGAGGGCGAGACCTGTTCACTGTCTGCGCCCCATGGTGAGTTCATTTTAATGATCATTTTTACTTACCTTAAGTGTCTTACAATTTACTGAAAAACAATCTATATATTGACTGTTTTATCATTGGCAATTCATACTTATATTCAGTCAACTGGGAATGCTTTTATCCAAAACATTTTGTTATAAAAACACTCAATAGATAGAGTGTTAGACGTTCAAATCCAAAACGACATCAAGAAAACAATAAGTGTTTCTGCTTTTCAAAAGAAACTAACAATAAGCTTCAAAGTGAACTTTTTGTCTACTAAAAGATCATCAGTCACTTCATTTTTTCAGCACTAGTATGCAATGGTTAGTTACCCAAACACTAACCCACTACCTACAGGTCAGGAAAATCAATCAAAAGTCTCCTTGTATCCTTTATTTCAACTAGAAAATAACTTTGATGTTTTGCTACACAAACCCCTTTTAACTACATCACAAAGACCTGACCAGTCCATATCAGTCTGACTTATTCATCAAATGCTTTGATTCATGGGCTCTCTGGCATTTGAACATGCTTACCTCTATCCTTTTCTTTTTATTGTGTTTTTGAGATTCCACACTTTCACTTGAGCTTTCCTCGCTCATGGATAGCTGTTGGTAATCATCGGAGTCCGGTGAGGAAAGGGGATCGTCATTATTCCCTTCATCCACTGAGATTGTGGCTGAACTTTCCTGGTTAACCTCCACTTCTTGAACATGATACGAGTCAGTGGACTGCATATTTAAGTCTTCTGCATCGGGGTCATTTTTAACCCAATCTGATATAATAAGATTATCAGCTTCCTCCAGAACTTGTCGATTGGTTGATCCCTGACCTATGTCATATTCTATTTGCTCTTCTTTAGGATTTAACGGCAATGGATTTGATATTGCCATGCTCACACTCCCGGTCTGCTCAGAGGGCCCATGTCCAATGCCTGTAGATATCCCGGTGTGTTGAATATCATCTAAAACCCAAAAAAAAAACCCACATGTTTTATAAACTAGACAATTCTCCCTTCAGTTTGGGCACAAAAAGCTTTTTTCATGAACATGTGCAGTACAGACATTAAATGTGTTATTGTTATCTGCCGTTTCGTCCTTCTGCTGGGCTGAAGTAGAGGAAAAGTATTTAACTGAAGGTATTTAACAGCAGCATTAATGCAAAGTGAAATCATCTGTACTTCAGTTGATCACTAACTTATCAAATGCATTTTGACAGTCTGATGGGGATTCATAACTACAAATGCTCCCCTTTATGATAGCGTATACTGCATGCACAGAGGAGCATACACAAATGGTACATAGGTATGAGGGACAAAAAATGACTAAAGTATAAATAAATGAATAATTAAATGTTGGGAGAAATGCATACAATAATGTATAAATAAATGAATAATTTAATAAATGCATCAACAATAAATAAATGCAACAATTCATAGTATATAAATAAATATATTAATATATTTATTTATGTATTTCTGTGTCCATGTTGTACAAGGGAAAGTAAATAGGTAAATTAAGTAGGCTGTCCTAATATTACTGAAGTAAGATTGGTCAATTATGAAAAACAGACAGAAGCAAATTTACATATATACTTTTCTTCGATGTGGACACATAAATAAATAGATGTGTAAATGTAAAAATACAGAAATAAATTAATAACTCAATTAATGTGGAAATGTGGACCAGTTTCTGATAGTGTGGAGCGAGCGTGCGCTCCTGGAAAACATGTACTGCGCAGTGTTTCTCACTCGTCCAGGTGTATTAACGGCCGCAAACGCCCTTTTCCCGAAAGCCTCTCTCCCTCATTATGTCAAAAACATGCATTAAAACATAACTGTGGGTCTGCACACGTGAGAGAGAGAGAGCTAGACGGGTGATCAAGAGTCGGGGAACGTGCCATTACGCATATAAGTGGACGGACAAGAAAGAAAAAGTGAAATTGATCATCTGCTCTACAGTTTCCATGTTAACCAGTGAAGTATGTGAACTACATGGCAGGCTGCTGTCTGTTAACTAACTGATGTCTGTCAACATCAACTGAGTGCTCCTCTGTCTGCACATCACCCTCAATGCTCTTATTACATAAAACACATCTGAACCTTCAGTGTGAGGTTTGATGTCTTTTGAAGTGTTCTTAAATCGTTTGAGCTGCTGTTAATACTCAAAATATTTACAATACTGAACATTACAAGAATAAGAGAGGAGCGATAATCGTAACTAAAAGAGAAATATGACAGTATGCCACCAATGCACTTTTTTGTTGACATTCATTGAGCTAATTGTAGTTTACCTCATGTTCAAATCTAATCTGACTTTGCAATAGGCTGAAAGGAGAGCACCTGAATTTGCTTTACTTCAAAGTAAAATAAATAGTTTTAAAATGAAAAAAAGTAGCTCTCTTTCTAAATCCCTTGATGTTCTGTAAAATTTGTCTAAAACACTGGAAACATTTTAACGGCCCGGCCCGTCAGAACCGAACCGTGACCAAAAAACCGAGGTACGTATTGAACCGTGGGCTGACTGTATTGTTGCATCCCTAATAAAGAGCCTTTTTCATTAACAAAGTGTATTTATTATTTATTCATTGATGTATTGTTTTCAGCATTTATATATTTATTTATATATTTATTGATGCATTTATTAAATTATTTATTTATACATTATTGTATGCATTTCTCCCAACATTTATTTATTTATACTTTAGTCATTTTTTGTCCCTCATACATAGGTGAATAAAACTACATAATAATAATAATAATAAATAAAATAAAGTTTATTTATAGAGCGCTTTTCACAGACAAAGGTCACAAAGTGCTTTACATAAACAAAACAACAACAAGAAGCATACATACAATGAAAGAAGAAAATAAAAACATGGGCTAATCTAGAAAGCCAATTAGCTTTATTGTTTTCAAATGTTTTACAATGTAACCAGCTAACAAGTCTGTATTTAAACCATGCGGCTTATTATTGCTGGAAGTGTCGTCAGTATACAGATAACTTTACGTTTAATGAAAGTAACCCACCTATCCTCGGTATCTTTATCTCGGGGTTGACCACCATGTGCAGGATATCCCGCAGACGTTTGTTTTCCTCGTAGTAAGCCTCCACAATAGCTTCAACTTCTCCAAAAATGTCCACCGCCGCGGAAGTAAAGCGTTCAGTTAAAAAGCTGCGGAAATTCTGGTGTCTAATGCTTGTCATTTTGAAGGCTGAAGTTATAAACGATATCAAATGTTTAGCGTCTCGTCGACCACTGTGAAATACGCGCCGTCCACAACATCCACAACATCCGGAAACTGGAGAATCCACCTTCCGTGTGGTCGCGTCTAATTTGCTGCAGAGCGCCCTCCTCCCGACGGTAAGCTAAATACATCAAATTGATTTGCATGAATTATAAATATCAAACATTAATCATCTATAGAATACTATTAATGTATAATCATTTTATATTGTTGAACGTGTACTCATTACATTTGATTTTATATTGATCGGTAATACATTTATTTTTTTAATAACTAGGTACTAGAATATAACGTGAAAACAGTAGCCTATGCATTACTAAATAACATGGAGGAAATAATTAATTGCATGGTTTCAGTAGCCTACAAAAATAATTTCACAAATGGAAAAAAATAAACTTAAAGTCGCAGTATCTTGTAAAAAGATTTAGTGGACAATTTTTAAATACTTCAATTTCCTGATTCAGTAGTTTCTCAGTAGTATGAGTTGTTGTTTTGTATTGCCTCTTTGTACAGTACTCTTGTTTTTTTTTTTTGCATTCTCCTCCCTGACATGTTTCACACTCAATTTGAAAAAAATGAAATTGTATTTGAGCTCTGGAAGTAAGGTTTCACCTTTAATAACCCTTACAGTCTATGGTTGGTACAGTATCTTACATCCAAATTATTTCCTTTGTGGCGATTTTGGCCAAATATAATATATTATATTATATTATATTAAATTATATTATTATTATTATTATTATTATTATTATTATTATTATTACTATTATTATTATTATTTTATTTTATTTTTTTATTATTATATATAATATTATATTTTGTGGCTATTATGGAAGGCAGATTTAAAAAAATAAATAAATAAATAAATCGAAGCAGAGTATTTTGACCCGACTTTAAACATTTCCATATATAATTTCTTCAGTGTCTTTCCCTTTCTTCAATCCGGTTTGTGAGACAAGTCAGTCGACACATCAGTTAATAGAAGGGAGCCATTGAATGTTTTATTCACGACGCCCGCCACAGGAGGGCGGTAATGCGCCGCTTTGACCCGTAGCTGACATGGTTTTATAGTAGACGAAGAAGAACAGCGCACAGGCAGCTGGTGACAGCCGTGAACCGCTCCCCCCCACAGTAAACTGGATCAGACGGAGACATTATCAGATAGCTCGGTGGAAACACTGTGGTGGCGTTTACTACCGTTTAATGGTGACGGGAGGCACGTTTTAAAACTTTGAACCGACTCTGACATCAGTTGAAGTGACGTTATTGGCACGTTGAGTGAACACTGTTGATCATAAGTAACGTTGACGCTAACGATAGGTATGTTAGCATGGAGAGCTAGGTAACCACAGCGGTGTTTACGGTCCGTTTCTCCAGTCTGTCACCCGAACACAACGCCAGGTTGTCGGGTATTCTATAAAGATGGGTGACATTGACCCATCGACATCCAATGCATTTCAGCCGGAGGTAAGTTTATTATTTAATGAACTATTATAGAGTGAGTAGTGTGCAGGCATGGCTAACGGTGTTAGCAAACATCAACTTGTCACCACACGATGTAGCAGCTGCTGATTAGTAAGAGTTAGCATGTTGACATGTAGTTAGCAACTGGTACACAAATAAGATTAAGTTTTACATTCAGATAAATCATGTTAAGACTTGAACATTTCGATAGTAAAACTTGACATTGTCAGTATTAATGAGTGTTTGGCGACAGTCCAGCTGTTTGCTGTGTATGATTGTTGCTTTGCTGGTTAACGTAAAGAAAACATTCCATCATCATAGTGTTAGCATGCTAACACTAACAGATGCTAACTAAGCATCATGAGACAACCTGCTTTACATGTCAGTAAACAGATTATTAACACTTATTTTTTAATGACTCACGTTGAATCTTTGGCATTTTTTAATTCGAATTTAATTGTGACCTGAACGTTTTGTTTACCAGATAAACTCCACCTTTATTAGCCAGCAACTAGCCTCTTAGCATTAGTTACTTATGTGAGGTGCATTGCTAGTCGACCCAGCTAACATTAGCTGTGGTTTGTTGGGTGGGGGTTGGTAGTGTTCACTGATTAGCCCAAAAAGAAAAAGGCATCTATGTGACGAATTCAACTTTAAGCTATGTTTGTGTCACAATGTTAATATTTAATTTCACCCAGATTTATTAAGTGGACTATGAGGGACAAAAAATGACTAAAGTATAAATAAATAAATAAAAAAATGTTAGGAGAAATGCATACAATACTGTATAATAAAAAATGCATTAATAAATATATATATAAATAAATGCAACAATTCATGTAAAAATTGATATATAAATAAATATATTCATATATTTATTTATGTATTTCTGTGTCCATGTTGTACAAGGAAAAGTAAATATATAAATTAAGTGGGCCGTCCTAACATTACTGAAGTAGGATTGATCAATTTTGAAAAACAGACAGAAGCAAATTAAAATTTCCTCTTACGACCTGGACACAGAAATAAATAGATTTGTAAATGTAAAAATACGGAAATAAATTAATAACTCAATTAATGTGGAAATGTATGCATTGATACATATATAACTGTAGAAATACGCTAATAAATGAATAAATACATGTAAAAATATATAAATAGCCTTTTTCATTAACAAAGTGTATTCATTATTTATTCATTGATGTATTGTTTTCAGCATTTATATATTTATTGATGCATTTATTTAATCATTTATTTATACATTGTTGTATGCATTTCTCCCAACATTTATTTATTTATTCATTTATTTATACTTTAGCCACTTTTTTGTCCCTCATAGTGGACGAGTCAACGCTGAGTGTCAGTTTGTGTGTGCCGATCATGTCAACGCCATGTCAGGGTCTGTGAAGGTCCGATGCAGCTGATGTTTCAATCACGTTTCTGTGTTACAGGGTTTCAGTCCTCAATACAGGAGGAGGAGGACAGTCGAGGATTTTAACAAGTTTTGTACTTTTGTTTTGGCCTATGCCGGCTACATCCCATATCCCCAGGAGGTGAGTAAACGAGAGCACTGCATGTAGACTTGACATAAGCACTTGTATTTCTGAGCTAAACATTTTTTTAAAGTTAAATACACTTCTCTTGCGCAGGTTCTTGAACTCTGAGGACCTAAGTCAAATAAAAGATTTGTTAAAGTAGGAATTCCTAAACAGTGGGTGACATAGATCCAAAATTCATCAAAACGTAAATACATAAAAAAAAGACTTGCACTATGCTTAGGGAAATCCAAAAGTTGTCACTCTCTGATCGCATGGATTTAATCAATTCACAAAAACTAAACACACATTATAATTATCTTTGAGAAGTCCTGACTTTATGTTGACTGAAAAAGGTGAAGTGAAACCGTTCACAGTCAAACTGTTCTTACAAAAATGTCACATATCTTTCTTAAATTACATTTAGCCAACTCAGCAAATTGGGTACCGGATTGGAAATCTGACATGGGACATTGACTTCTTTTAGGCGTATTGAATTTCATCCTCTGTGTGCAAACAGATTTTGACAATGAGATTATCTAAAACAGATTCTTTTGTCTCTGTAGTTTCCCTGGCTTTGTTTGTTTTGGTTTCAGCACTCCCTCTGTTACAAATTAACCTAAGCCCTTTCTTATATATACTCCCTTTTGTAAAAAAAGATTTCATGTGTGACTCTGTTATTAGTGTAACAAATGTCTTCCTGTCTTGTTTGCAGGAATGCACAAACTGTCTGTTACTTAAAGCCTCCTTCACCGACTATGCTTTTTTGTCATCTCCTTAGCAGAGCTTGTCTGTTCTGCTGCAAGTAGTCTTGGTCACATGGACCATCCATTCATACCCAAGTTTCTCCCTCAAACACATTTATACACATCTTTGTCATTTAAAACAATTGTATTTAACATTTTTTCCTTAATCGATTCTAAGAAAAGCTTGGCCTCCACAAGACCCCAACAACAACCCAAAGTGATACATTGCTGTCAAAAACAACATAATCATTTCTTACATGAATTGTTTTTATTAGATTCTTTACAATTGATAAAAGTATCTTTTTAGGTACAAGCTAGTAGTTTTTCTTTTAACATCCCAAGATCTCACACATATCTGAATTCAGTTTCATTACTGGATGCTCTTTGTAATTGATTTAGAACACCTTCTATTGTGCATTGTTAAAATGGGAATTTCTCACACTGGAGCACTTTAACAAATATTTTGAATCAGTTATTTACCTGCTTAATTTCACTCACTGTAACATCTTCATCGTTTACAGGACTCTCCACTGCGCAGTAGTTCCAGCCCCCCTAATAGTACAGGCAGCACCGCTGACAGTGATGGTTGGACACCTGGACCCCCAACCTCCTGCCCCCAACGCCCTTCAAGGCCCCCCAGGACAGGAGCAGGAAACGTCCACATCCCGGAGCCCCTCTGTCCAGTCACACCAAGAAAGATGTGAGTGGGTAAAAGTTGACATAAACAGAATGTGTTCACCTTCACACCTTTTAACGGCCCTCTGTTTTTTTTCCCCTTAAGCACACATTTACCACCCTGCACCCAGATGACCGCAGGAAAGCTGACAAGCTGAAGAAGAAGAAAAGGAGAAAGGAAAGGGAGCATTCAGGTGGTGAGGAAGGTGCGGTTCAGCAGGCCCAGTCTATAGTCCAAGAGTTGCAGTACCCAGTCTCCTTCGGTGGCAAAATGATCAAAGAAGAGCCAGAAGATGATTTCAGCATTCCCCTCCCTCCCCAGCGTCTACATTGTCCAGCCCCCTGCAAAGAGGAGCCCAATGATGAGGGCCAATCATGGGAAGGTCAGGACCTGGAGGAAGGGGTGGTAAAGGTACAGAAGGTGGAGGGCTTTTCAGGAAGCAGAACAGTGTTCCGTCAGGGGAAGCAGGTGGTGTTCAGAGACGAAGATGGATCAGGAGAGGATGAAGACATCATGGTAGACTCGGGTAGGTTTTTATTTTTTTTGTGTATTATTTAATTGTTAGAAGTTCAACCAAATGACTAATAGGGTTGGATATTGGGAAGGACCTCATAATTGTGATACTTAGCAATACTCTCCATAATTTATTGAAAATTCGAAAGTGGAGCCGATAAGAATACAACTTGCTATGTTAAATCAAATTGAAATTTTTATCTTTTTAGTTTAATATTTCCATTTCAATTTATTAGAACAGTTTCACAATACCAGAATTTTAAACGTTAATGTGGTAAAAGTAAAAATCAAACAATATCAATACCGGTCTTAATACCATGGTAACAACATTATAAGCCATGGGTACCATTAATTGTGAACCCTCCTGTTTTTTAATTTATAACCTGCATCCAATGCTTGTGTAGAAAAAGTAAATACTTACTAACTCGTGAAAAACTGTCAACAGCAACTAAAGGCATCATGAGGAGGATTTCCCTAAAGTAGGACGTGGACCTATTTTAAAATATTCCACGTCAATTATCACTCCTAATCCAGTTTGATTTGTGTGGTGGTGTCTGTGTCTGCAAAGACCCTGGCCACTTTCTTTAAGTTTGGATTTTCTCATCATACAAAATCCAAACTGTTGCTCCTTCTTGCACCTTCAAAATAACCTTGAAATATTGCTTTATTTCTTTATTTTACCACTTTCTTTACATAAACCGCCCTCGCTTTCTTCATCTTTACGTTAATCAACCACTGCTGCTCTCTCTCGGTGTCCACTAGTTGAAGAGTGATATCTACAGACCCAGAGGTTGTTGTGATCTCAGGAATTTAAGGGAAATAAAAGGACACTTTTAATCCATTTAAAGTATTGATGTGTGGGGGCTGGAATATCTATGAAGTATTGTGAAAACAATTGTGTCGAGTATTGAGCACAGCCCTTGTGACCAAGCTGAACTCGTCATGTTGTCTCTCCTCAGACGACGACTCGTGGGACCTCGTCACTTGTTTCTGCATGAAGCCCTTTGCAGGCCGCGCCATGATCGAGTGTAACAAGTGCAACACCTGGATCCACCTGTCGTGTGCCAAGATCCGCAAGAGCCATGTGCCAGAGACATACGTGTGCCAGAGCTGCCGAGAGACGCACGGAAACGCGGATAGCCGTCGCTCCCACCGCTCACGAGTCGGCCCACGTAAGCATCTGCTTGACTGACTCAAGAACCCTGAACTTTGATCCCCCCCCCCCTCTTGCACCTGCTGGACTGACTCCTTCCTCGAATTCAGGTCTTGCACCCTTCAGTCTCTGTCCTTCATGGTCAGCCACATTTTCTACAGACACTTTGGTGGACCTTTCCCAAGCCTTTATCCCGTTTGTAAACAGTTTGAGTGCTATTTTAGATTTCCTAAGACTTGTTTCTGCTTCCCTACAGACTCTGTGCGTAAGGCAATCACTGAATGGATGTCTGTCTGTAGATGACATTAGCAGAAAACTGCGCCGACTAGACTTTGTGTCTCGTGAACACTGGAAACATTTGAACTGCCATATGTAGAGAGAAAACCCCTCGCAACTGCCACCCTCTATGGTGCATTTTGTGATTTATGGGAGAGACAGTTTGCACTTTTTTCTCATTTCTTCAAAGAAATATCTATCTGACCATCTGTCACAGGGATAGGTATATCTTTCTGATTAAACTAGCTTTGATTTCTCGTACAGGCCTCCTATCATTGTTAAACAAATAACGGATAAAAAAAAAAAGAGAAAACAAGTCAAGCCTTGTGTCACTTGCTTCAGATGGTGCTATAGTAAAGCTGAGGTATTATCCAATAGAACAAAGATGTAGGAAAAAGAGTAAAGTATGCATCTGCTTCATCTATTTCCTGTTTTGTTTTTTATTTAAGACTTTGTGGAAGAATACTTTTGAGGCTATGAGCCTGTACAGCCCTTTCTTCTACTTCACAAACTGTCTTCCAGCCTAAGCTACTACTCTGAATGAAAGGTGTTCAGATGGCCACACGTGAAGCTTCTACACACGTTACAGTGTTCTTACTTTACCAGACTTCTGTTTCTAAGGATTCTTTCAGAAGTAACTGTTTGTTTATATAAAAAAAAAGACAGACAACATGCAAGTTGTCAGTTAAAGTCTTTTAAGGAGTTGTTCCAAAACCGGTTCAAAAATCAGTCCGATACTTTCCAAATTGCAGTATTGAGTATCTGCAAATATCTCAATGGATAACATTATTTAACAGCCTCAAACCCCAGCATGTAAGGGTTTTTTTGTTCTTCTCTTAAACAGTAAAGCTACACAGCATTAATGAATACTACCTATAGTTTAAGAGCTGCAAAGACAAACTGTGTTTCATGCAAAATATCATGTGATGGTGTCAAAAATCCCAAGCTGCAGAAGTTGCAGAAAGTGCAGCCATCTTTAAAGCAAGCAAAAAAAAAAGTCACCACTCAGTATTTGTCCAACACTAATAAAGATGATGTTTTTTTTTAACTCAAGATTAAAGGTATCAGAATCTGAATGTTATCAGAATATCTTTCAAGCGTTTTCCGTTGTCTCTGCTGACAGGAAGGAGCAGGAACCTCATTTTGTTGTTTTCAACAGTTTCATGCTCACGTTTTCAGAGAGGGTGCACATTTAAAGAAGGGAACTCATGACCGTCCTGTAGAGGTATCAGCTGAGTGAAAAGCTCTCTTTCTTAACTGGGCAAGTGTCGTCCGATGAAGATGCTCCAGTTGGAATTATGCATGCGAGTGTGTTAGTTTGACTGACTGGTTTACACTGTGTGAGGGTGAAGGCTTGTGCTGCTATGACTTGTCTCAGCTAAAAAAAAATCCCCTGGTGGTCATTGGTCACTTGTGGGATGGAGAAACGGGATTGTCCGCTAAAAGTACCACGGCAATGGTTTTGGGAAATATTTAGTAAGTCTCTGACGGGTCATATCAGAAGAGCAGATATCAGACTCGTATCATCTCTCACATTTTTTTACAGCAGTAAATAGTTGCTTTTGTATGCAGCAGGTTTATTTGGAAGATGTTTTTAAGGCACATTACAAAAGATTTTAAGCTGTTATTCATGTGCCATCTGCTGTTTTTTTCTGATTTATATATAAAAGCCATACTGTAGAGTGACATGTTTTAGACTCTTGGATATTAGTCCAGGGAGGGATTTAACCATGCAGAATCAATTGACTTGGCCAGGGAAATACACACACACACACACACACACACACACACACACACACACACACACACACACACACACACACACACACACACACACACACACACACACATTGAATGTTTGGTTTGTAACATACACAAGACTTTCTGAGAGTTTAGAATGGTTAAGCTCATCTCTGCACTTGTCTTCTGGTATTTACAAATGTTGGTTAACTTGTTGGTACCCAGCAAGCATCCAGGTTTGATGTTTTCTAGACGTTCGAAGACCCCCAAATGATTTCTCAGGACGATCATGTCTTGATGAGAACCTGGAGATATCTTTAGGCAAACATGTCTAATTTTTACGTGCGTCTTTAAGACATCTGTGTAATTATTGTTAACAATGCTCATTGTGATGCAGTTTATTCTGATCCTGGGTTGTCCTATCCCCTTATTGAGAAAGCGTTGTCTGTACTGTGGTGCAAACTGTTTCTGTGAAACTATTGTAAACTATTGTAAATAAAGAGTTACCATTTTAACTGGGTTTCCTTTCATCTTTTGGTAATACAGTGAGGTTCACTCAGTCAACACTGAAATCAAACAAGAATCATAGAGGATCATATTTATTGTAATCTTTACAGGACAGAGAAAACAGGCTCCTCCACCATACAATGCATGGACATACTCGTGTGGTTCAGTGGGGGGTTGGAGTTTAACAGCAGGATAGCAGTCTTTGTGCTGGCCTCATGGTGGCACCAGAGCTGAGGCGGCCAGCTCACCTTTCAAATAAAACATTTAAGACAAACAAAGAGTACAAACAAAAGCAGTGCAAAGTTGCTGATGTAAAAGGGACCCCAACTCAAGACTGTTAAGAGATCTCACTGCAGAAAAGGACAGGGAGCGACATCCTTCAGACTCAGACAAGAACGTCTCCATCTCAATGCTGACCAGTCACCTGGTCTTCAAGGTCTATTGCAGTAATAGTCAAACCAAAACTAATCAAAATAGGGAACCATATGAAGTCAGCTTTATAAGACACTGGTTAAGTCCAGTTGTCAACATCAGCAGCTCTTTCATGACAACTAACATCTAAAATATATGACACTGTATGTTGTGCAAATTAATTAAATTTTCCACAATTTCCCAGTTTGGGATCAATAAAGTAATTCTATTCTATTACCATTGTGTTTAGATAAAATACCATTTGCATCCTGTAGTTGTGGGTTTGAGAGTCTTCCAGGATTCCCTTAAGCCTAGGACAGGATCTCCCATCCAAGTCCCTCCTGTCACATTTCTCCTTTACAACTAAAAGAAAGCTATCAAATGGGGGGGGGTTTCTTGGAATGTGCATCTGATGCAAAACAGAAAACAAAACAATTCCTGTGCTATAATAATAAATCTGAACAGAAAGTGCAATAGTTTGAATTAGATGTCCTCATGTATACCTCACCATCCTGATTTAAAAACAAAACAAAGCTACAGTGCAGGTAAATTAGTGTTTTGATAACCGCATAGAAGAAGCTCATTAAAGTCTGCTCACAAGTGTTTTTATCATCTTGAACATTGCATTACAATGTATTACTTAGTAATACAAGTGACAGTGGCAGTCAATTAAAAAAAGAAAGCAGGGGCACATTATATCAAATTAAATACATGGCACATGATTGAAGTACAAACAATACAAATGAAATAAATAAACGTATCTATGTCAATGTGCCATAGTCAGTCAAATAAGTCAAACTTAAGAGTGGCTCAGGTCAGCTCCGTTAACGAGTTACTGTCAGCAGCAAACACAACCTTCATGAGGGGAAAATGTTGATCTATGTCCTCTAGTGCTCTAACGTCCCAACCGTAAAATACTCTCCACACATGTAGCTTTTTTTAGCTAAATATTTACCAATTTAGAACTTTCAATTCCAGCCTGGCCTGAGATATGTGTGTCTGTATAAAGAGATCAAGCCTGTCTCACCTTGGTTGAGACGCTACCATCAAAGCACATATTTGTCATGTAGAAGTCCTCCCTAAACCCCCCCACATCCATCACAGAAAATTTGAGCACCGGTTTATGATGTGACTGAAGGGAAAAAGGACCAAAAACAAACTCATCCCTGAACAGCCACAGCAGGGTCACTGAGACACGATCCTGCATGGTGTTCCTCTAAACATTTTTGCATGAGTTAGTGTAACGACTTGTATGTTATTACATTATTAGATTCAAACCTAACAGGGTGACACAAACACAGGACAAAAGACGACAATGATATGGAATAAAACTACAGCACAGCTCATTTGTATATGCTCGACTTAAGAAATATCTTTTAACTCTTCGTGTGCACCTTTCGCTCTTTATCAGCAGGAATGACCACCATGTCTGTGGTGACTATCAGTTCTTCTTCTGTAGTGCATATATTAAACTATGTTTTCAGGAGTCTGCACTCTGGCAGCAGCCTAGAGACACGTAGGGTGATACCTTGTAGAAACCCTGAGCCCACTCCTGCATGGTACTGACCCTCGGAGCTGGCCCACGGGAAAGGGAGGAGTGGAGAAACTGGATACACAGGTTCACTAATACCATGACAGAAGAGGACCAGAGGGGAGAAAAAGACTTCTTGTTGATGTGTCCTCTCCACTCTTGGATGCTTCTGATTAGAGAGTCTATTTTTATCTATGCTGTTCCAACATTTGCTGGGCTCCTAAGACTCAGACTCAAGTCTGTGTGCTGAAAAGAAATACAAATATTCTCAACATGGATGCATTCAAAATACTGCAGTCTGTTGTAATGTATTGTACATCTACATTATATTAATGCATACTGACATTGCTTAGGTATCCGTAGTGGCTCGGTGTCTGCAGAGATGACTTGGTGCATGACACCTCTGAACTGGTACAGTAATTTGAGACTCTTCTCCTCTCCCACACAGGGGTCGTAAAACCCCGGCAGTCCAGCCTGAGCAGAGAGAGAGACATAAAGAACACTGATGTATTCATGCAGATCTGTATAGGTAGTCAAAGGGGACACGTAAACCCACGCACCTTTGAGGACTCGGTGAGGATGAGCTTGGAGTCTTTGACTATGCACTGCAGAGGTACAGTGACGTCGATCACCTTTGCTTTCTCCTGCCTCTGGCTGGTGTCAGACACAAACTTTCCATACCAGGCGTTCAGGATGATCAGTCCTACACAGAATCACATGTTTTTTTTAAAGTTAAAAGTGTCTTCATGGAACAGTCCTGCTACTTTGCTGGCTGGATATTCATACTATGTAGCTAACTGTTCCTTGTGGACGGAGCGTCTAGATTAAAGGGTAAATTGAACACATCCAATAAACAAATTCTTCAAATAATTAAATGCAACCTTCTCATAAAAAAAAGGGGGAGGTGCATGTTCTATTGGCTGAGCTTAACCAGTGCTGTTTCATTTATTAAAAAAAAAACAATTATATGTGAAAATGAGCAATGCAGTATTCATTAACAATCCATTCTTACATATGAAACAATTTTTTAATTTTTAAAAATAAGTTCAACACAAAGTCGACGCAAAGTCTAACCAAGCGCCTGCTCCACCAACTGAGTCAAACTAGCAGCCTGAACGGCTGATCTACTCCATAAGTCCACTATGATGTATTAACTTAGTTCAACGTGTAGTATAACGGATGATACCTTCACTATCACTTATTGGACAGAAAGAGACAATTGAGGTCAGACTTTGAAAAACTGAATTTTCAGGCATTGTTGTATTATGCTGTTTTTATCAAGTCTTATCTGTCTGCAAGCTTTAAAAAGAAAAGGACTCTGTTTCCCACCCTAATGCTGTGTTTGCGTGAGTGCATTTGTGCACGAGTGTGCATGTGTGTTCTCTCACCCATCTTGGATTCTTCAGCTTCTATGATTCTCCTCACAGACTCCTGCATCAGCAGAACCTGCCGAGGGAGGAAGAGGAGCAGGAGAAGGAGGAGGAGGGGTGGGGGGAAGGAGGAAACAAAAAACAGAACAGGAAAAGAGAGAGAGAGAGAAAGAGAAAGATGAGACTAGGGGAGCTGAACCCCGGAAACAATGATCAGTGATCGTGTACAGACAGGTTGAGTGTGTCTGCATGTTGAGTACTCACAGCAGACTCTGCCTCCTGCTTCTTCTTAGCGATGTCTGTGGCTGAGCTCTTCCTGTGCAGCTCCAGCTCTCTGAGTAGTGCAGAGAAAGACAGAGTAGACATCAATAATTACCCAATGGGAGTCACATGCATATGATGAAGTATGTTGCCATTTAAATGTTGTACTACTCCATCAAAATGCCTGGACTTCCGTAGTGGTTTTGGGTTTTGCAGCCTTCATTAGAGCATTCATATTTCTGATGCAAAACAAGCTCTTTTAATTTTAATGCTTTAAAATATCATTTTAAAAACAAATAGGACATGTTTACTAACTCTTGTTTCTGTGCGCGAGTGTATGGGATGATGATGAGTCTGTGGACGGCCATGTAGAACAGCAGAGGTCCGGCGGTGGCGTAGAAGACTGCACTGGGCAGCAGCTGATCTGTTAGGTGGACTGGAAACAGGTACGTTTGACTGGCGCGTGCCAACCTGCATGGAGACAAAGGGTAAGCAATTTACACACACACACACGCCAGATAATCACGAGAGACAGAGGTGCACAGAGAGGAATGAGCTCATATTTTGGGGTTTGGCTCGTACTTGATCTTGAGCGTGACTCCCTGAGGGACTCCGATGCTGACAGTCGCTGACAGGACACTGTGTCGGCTGATCTTCCTCTCTGCTCCATATTCCACCACAGTGCCGAACCAGCCTGTCCTAGAGAGGAAGACAAAAATAAACAAAGACTGTAAGAGTGAGGCAGCTACAGTGAGATGAAATCAATCATACAGACTGTGCAAGCAGAGATTAAAAACCTCTGAGGATCCAATACTTGACAAATTAATTTTTTTTCATCTTTTATTTCTTTATTGTCAAATGTATTTTGTATTCATTTACATGTTTATGAATATTCAACTGTGGTTTTACTTCTTTTTATTTCCCTGCTATGTCTTATGTGTAAACTGCTTTTGATCTCCTGCAGCTCTTTTAATGCTGCATGTGAGAGCGGTAAAATAAACCTTTTACTATTAAATTCGAGGTGAAGTTTTGCACGTCATATGATGCAACAGTGAAGGGAATATTTGTAATGTAAGGCCATTGAGATTTAGTTCTCATGTTTTTTTGCACTACTGAACATGATTCTTTAATATCACCATGACTTGGATTTGAAAAGATGAACAGCTTTCTTGTACCTATGAGGCATGATTTAACATGTTCTCACAATTTGCTAGAAAAGTGCAACCATGTGTAACATTAAATTAAAAGAAATCACTGTAAATCTTTCTAAAAACACTTCATACCAAGCAGTATTTTCAGCTGGTATTAAGTTGCATTTCAAAAGTACTAGGAAAAATAAGTTTCACTGCCTGCAAAGGGAAACAGTTGTTTATCACAGAATAAGACATTTGAGACATTAAAAGCAGACAGACGTACTTCACAGAGCCTTTCACTTTGGTCTGGTCATCATCCTGAAACTTGTACTGGTAGCTCACCATCAGGTATGAGTGAGGCACACCAAGCTAAATGTTTTGGGAGATAATTCATACAGAATGCAACAAATCTTAGATTAGGACACATTTTAAGATACTAAAAAACAATATGGACTATGATGACAGCAGGTGTAAATGTGCTGGTGCTTTGTTTTTGTACCTGCAAAGCGAGAGTAAAGTGGCTGCTCTTTGTGTCTCGCACCAGGCTGGTTGTCATGGCGCTGTTGGGCCCCCAGCGCCACTGCAGATAACCCATGGTGTTCTGGTCCAGGTGGCGTGCTGTCATCAGAGAACAGCTTGGTCGCAAACCTCGAGGTGAGAACTGCAAGCCGCACTGGGCTGTCAAGAAACTGGGCAGAGAAATGACAAGAGTGGATTAACAATTAAAGGGACGGGGAATGTTGCTCACATGTTCTTACAGTTTGTGTTCTCAGTCCTGGATCGCACAGATCATACTCACCAGCGTGGAGTGAGATTACGAAACACCTTTAACCCAATGAGAGGTCCGAGTATATCTCCTGCACCTAACTCCACCTGTCAGAGGAGAACGCACAGAAGACGTTACTGCAGATAAGCTGCAAGAACAACAAAATCACCCCATGCTAACATTTACCACAAAGGGCATGTTCAACATTATTTTAAAAAACAGTTTGTACTGTGTGGTGCATACCTCTCCCCATCCCTTGGCTGACGTTACCCTTCGTACAGTCATGTTAATGTTGCCCCCTCCGTTCCCATTGTGTGTAGAGAGTGAACCAGACAACACTGCAGTGTCCGAGTTCGTCAAAGGAGCCTGGGGAAAAAAAAAAAAAAAACTGGATGAAAACTGAGAATTCTACAGTGACTCTGGTGCAGGTGAGCAGCTGTGAAGAGTGTAATACTAAAGAGTGTGTGTGTTTAAACGTGTGTGTAGTGGCTATTTGTCCAGAAACAAAAAAAAAATCTAAATAAACTAATATCAAACATAATCAAATGACCACTGATGCACCATGGGGGATGTGATGTACGCAGGCAAAAGAAGTCCAATGTCCATGCAAGAGGTCTGCGGTTTTTTGGTGGTTTATTTGGTTCAAAAGAAAGCAAACAAAAGAACAAAGAAAATCGTGTCTCTTGCGCTGGTAAAAAAAAAAAAACACAGGCCCACCCAGGTGCATGCTGGTCCTCTACCTGCCTCTGGTGCCCACAGTGTTACCCACAGTGTTACCCAAGTTGGACTGAGAAATGTGCATCTTGTGTGCATCTTGTTGATTTCAATATGAGGAAAGCCTCCTCCTGGCATCTCTTCAAAGTCTTCGTCATAACGGTCAAATAGGTCTGTTGCATCCACGCCCACGCTGATGGTGCCCTGAGTGATGAGGGTGGAAAGGGGGAGAGATTGGCAGGAATTCATAAATAAAGCTGTAAAAGGTTAGTAAGTTTTAAGGCGCAATGTTTCTATCAGTATCTGCATGAATTGGTGGCTCACACAAGAAATAATTGAATAGTGACATTGAAGAGGAAATGTGATTGTGACTTAGAGAACCTTGGGGTTAGTTCTTTGTTGCAGTCTCCTCTCTTCTCTTTCTCTCTGCAGCCTTTCATACTCCTCACGGATTTCAGCCGGTGTCCTCTTTCTTTCCACAATCTGCATATCATCAACATCAACATGAGACATATGTAAGAAGGATCAGTTTAGACTGGAAGTGTAGGGTAGCAGCAAAACAACTCAATTTCAGGACAGAAGGATTATGTTAAGACAGAATTACAAACCTCCCAGCCTTCCACCTCCAGCCCTTTCTTCCCAAAGAGGTCATAGATGGCTCTGGAGTGATCGTCACTCAGCACTGAGGGTAAAGACGGTCACAATGGTCTAGTTTACTCACATCTTTTGTGTTTGCATCTTTTTACACTGCTTTGTCATGAAAGTTTCAACTGTCAGGTGAATCGCAATACAAATTTTTAAACTAAAGGGGTTTCTAGAGGTGTTTAGTCCTTACCTTCATATGCTTGGTGAACCTGGTTGAACAGCTGTTCAGCCTGACTTTTAAGCTCGGGGTCTCGATGTTTGTCGGGATGGTAGAGCATACACAGCCTTCGATAAGATGCCTTCAGCTCCTCCAATGTAGCCTGTACCAAAGAGAGGGCAGGTAAAAATGCCATGAAAGCACATTTAAATGTATTATTTGGCAATTGGCATAGGATTGTGTTTACAGCTGTTTAGTACAATTTACTTTTGTAATGACGAATTCAAATAGGGAGTCCATATCTTAATCTAAAACTATTCATTTTGGGTCATTTTCTTGCTTGAAAAAAAAAACAACAGAATATCAAAAAAGTTGCAAATCGAGAGCTTGAATCATCTCTGTAAGAAAGGATTGCACACTGCTTTAAACTGATTGAAGACAGCCAATACCTCGCTGACATGAAACAACGTCTACAAGATGTATTATTAAGAAAGCTTCTTCCAGTATGAACTTATTGTTACCTAACCTGACGTTATTCAATAAACGTCAGAGTTTACAGTCCCACTCAGGCCTCTCAGTCTCATAGAAGAAGACTGAGGTTTGTTACAGTGCTCGTCGATGCACAGATATAACATAACATCATATAATATAACTTTGCAGCTGCTTTGGATGCATTTACTGCCTGCAGGAAGTGAAGAGATACTGTCAAAAACCTGCATAATCATGTTTCTGCTGCATCAGCCGGTGTCAACCTGCACGGATGATGGTGCAGAGGAAGAAGACCGTTACAAAAACTGAAGGATGATGCACCGACTGCACACCGTTTCCCCTCCGGTGATCCACCCACCGACACTCAGGGCGGAAGGTGAGTAATCATTAAGCTTCACTGTTAAACAGAATGAACCGTACCTCTTTCCTGACGTTCAGTAGAGCGTAGTATTCTTGATTATTAGACTCGTAATCATCATCTAAGGACGCGGCCATGTTTGCCTTCTGCTTCAGTCCCCGCCCACCCGTCCACTGCCCTGGAACCTCATTGGTCAGTCGCGCCCGGACCGGAAGTTGTACTATCGCCATCTTCTGGTGAAGTTTAAGATCAACACAAAGGCAACTTTTACACCTCGAAACCGGAGCAATGGAAAAGGAAGGCTCTGCTGAAAACCAGGGGAACGGAGACGAGCATCATTGTTTAAGTAGGTAATGTATACAATACCAGTCAGCTGACGCCGATTCTGATTGGCTAAATTATTTGCATTGCTAATAGCTTAGTTTGCATGAAAAAATTACTTTGAAGTTGTGTCTACCTTTTTGAATATTACTGTTTTATAATCTTAGTCGTAATGGTAATCTATGTTCCTACTCGGCCTGATGCGTTTAAATTCTCAATTTACCCCTACCCTGGGGTAGGTTGAGTCACAGAAGCACTTTTTTTTCTGAGGTCATTTTTTCATGGCTCTTTGTCATAAATGCATTCTTATATTTTCAAATGATTAACAACATCCCAAATTAAAATGAGGTGTTTTTATTGTACTTCTGTGTCAATTGTCTTTGACTGGAGAACCACATACAAACTGGCTCAATTTACCCCACTCTACCAGTGACCTGTATGATCAGCTTTAGGATCCTGTATTGGGCAACATTTGTTTTTCCACACTGTCTCTGCCTCTCTCCAAAACATTTTTGAACAATATTGATGAAGTATTACCCGGCCTCAGAGCTGTCATTTGTATCAGATTAATCACAAATTAACAAATTACACAGCACAACATGTTAATCCCTGTGATATGGATATGATATGCCTCTGTGCCTGATACATGTTTTGGCCATGTAATATTCTAATTAGCATATTTGCATGATAGATAAGTGATTACAAGTGATTACAATCATTAGCAGGACCACAACTGATGATTGGCCTGGATGTTCTTGTCCTTGATGAATGATATGCATCATTCTCTGCCACCCTGGGGTTTCTTGTTTGAAGTTCAGTGAGAGCTCCCACAGGACATCAACTGTTCTGTCACAGTTGATCAGTGCTGGGAGGTCATTGAACACGATGGTTTGGCGCACATATTTTTGCAAAGCGATATTCGATGACTGGGATTTTACTTTGCACTGCAAAATCTAGGTTGGTAAAGTGTCTCCTTGGAATGATACGGTCCTTTTTTTCGCCCTGGAGTGATTGCTGCTATGATTCCCATTCCGTGGAAGGTCCCCTTACCATCAATAGTAAGGATGTTGTGGTCAACATTGTCCCCAGCAAAAGAGAGTGCCATGTCCAGCACATCTATGTCATCCGCTAACATATCTGGGGCAACTAAATCTGCTGCATTCCTTTCAAAACGTAAAACTTCCTTGTATGATGAAGCAAATCCCATTCCATGAAGGGTATCCACCAGGAATTGTGACCGATACATATGATGTGCCTGCACTGCAAGGCCAAGTTGTAATGGAGCTACCACAGCACGTGGTCGTGTTGCCTGGACAATTGCCTGTCCAATTCCTGCAACCTTTCTGCTTGTCTCCTTACATTCAAAAGTGTACGGAGAGTCTCAGGAACAAACGAAAGGGCAGAGTCAAGCTCAAGTGACTTTGTGCTCGGATACTGATCCGTAACAGACAGGACATTGGACTTGATATCACTTTTGATCAATCGCGCAGCTGTTTGAATGATCGCTTGTTTCTGGGATTCCTCATCCTTTTCTTGTTCGCTGAAATAAGATTGTAGTATTTGTGATGTCTTCTCTCTCATTGTCACCATGTCATGGAGGCCTTCCCCTTCAGTGAAAGCTACATTGTCCTGGTACTGTTATCTCAATTTTCTCTTGAGGTATTGATTTCCATATGGTTCAGAATCTGGGTTTGACAGAGATTCCTTCATTTTGTCTCGAAGATGTGTAATTGTCAACTGTTCCTCATCATTACTCTCGAGGTAAGAGCAAACTTTCATGAATGCCTGCTCCCGATCTTCATTTTTGGGCCTGCCAGACTTTCTGCTCTTTGCCTCTGGATCTTTCTGGAACTGTATCGGTATGTTATATCCGTTACGAAAACTACTACTGCATAGTGGTGGTAAACACAGTCTGCAGCATGTAGATCACGGTTATCGTAGTCCCACAGAAAAGACAATCGGTTTAGCTGTTGAAAGGACCAGTTGCTACTCTGGCACTTCTTTTTGGTGGCTGAGCTTTATTCTCTTGTTGGATTTTAATGTCTTTGTTATTTATGTACTTCTGTCGACATTTTGAGTGTAGCCTACTATTTCGCCAGCGGAAATGTGTACGTGTTCGCCTCTTTGTACACTTGCATTGTTGATTCCATCAGCTCCCTTCTGATGAACCTCAACCACATCAGAGCCATCTCTTAAGTTTTTACTGAAAATTGGGCACGTTTCTTGGTTTACAACAACATGACTCATGGTCAAAATTGCATTTGGAGTGTACTTTTTCCTCAAGCTAATTCAACAATGTCATCCTCTCTTAACACACTCATTTCATTTCATGTGTTAGAGATCTGTCTAATGTGGGGGTGGTTTAAATAGTCAAGGATGAATTTATAGCAAAATGGTATACACTGTGCTGCCAACAATATTTCAATGAGGCAAGCAATATCAAATGTCAGTATTCTCTTCCACCATCTTCTGAATTGCTGAAAATTGTGAATTTAGTTTTGTTGAGTTTAGTATAATTCCACTTTTATACTCAAAAACATCTATAGAGGATGCATTACATATGTATTACCTTATTCAAATTGAAATGAGTGACCATTTTAGAGGGTTCACACACAGGCCTCTGTTCGGGCTAATTCAGAGTTGTTGATCAAAGTTATACAACTCCAATTTAAGTTACTTTTGGGTGCAATAACTTTTACATTGAATGTCAAGTCTGTGTTTTAGCAAAAAAAAAGGGTATGTGTCCAAAAACACGTACTGAGTAGAAGTTACATGACAGGCTAAATCGTTTACATCTCTGGTTCACCCCAAACAAAGATAAAACCTTACAGTAATCTCACAAAATCATGTATTCCATAAGTTTGTAATCATGTCAGTGCAATTTAGACAAGTCCAATGGATTCATAGACCCCTAAAACATGGGGTTAGACACCAAGATTACTTGGCTAGGTCAAATAATGAAGGAGTTACGATATTTTAAGGGCTTCCTGCCCATCTTGGACGCCATCTTGAAAATGACACCTTTCTAGTGGTCAAATTTTGGTAAACTTTTAGTATGTTATTAAGGACACCTAATACTACAAAAAACAGCTGAGAAACCTTTTGTTAGGGTTAGGTTAGGGTTAGGTGTTTTTTTTTTCATATATGCAGCCGCCTAATATGTATTTATATTGTGTTTTAATTTTCCATATCTTAAACAGAGTTACAGTCAGTGACAGAAGATGTATTCAGATATTGTATGCAGGTAAAATACATTGGCCCACACATCAAAGCCTATAAGCAAATTCAGTTTGTCAAAACTATAATAACCCTTTACATTAGTGGTGGAATAATGGTAATATATACTATAGTTACACACTGTGCTCACATTTCAAATGTTTGTACTTGACCTTTACTCAAACTACCATTTTTGAACCAATCATTTTGTGCTGCTACTTTTATCTAAGCTTTTAAGAGCTTTACTCAGTTTATAGTTTTCAGACTAAGATTTTACAACGAAACACATGAGCATATTTGTCTCCCTGTTGGTTGAACTACCAAACAGTATGTGATGTCATCTGGTCGAGCTACAACAATGAAAATATGATCACGTTTATCAGTACTTATAATTCATAAATAAAAAAACATGACTAAAAATAAAACAACGCTGATATAAACAATCCTGCAGATGGATGCTGTTAGTACACTTTGATGATAACATTTATAGCTTAAATGAGAAACTTATTGAATGAAGATCTTTTCCTTTTGGATAGTTAGTTGGTTGGTCACAGTTTAAGTTCTCTTTTTAAAATGATTAAAAAACGTTTTTCACCACTCAATTATACTAAAGGTTTTAAACATTCTGCTTGTCATGTTAAAAAAAAACACAATAGTTTAATACTAATTAGCCAAACATACATTATTATGCAAAAATTGAATTTGATCAATTAATTAAAAAAAAAAACTATTGGTGGATTGATGGATTCTAGATATGACTTTTCCTCCTACACGAGGAGATTTTCAACTTTCTGTGGTTAGGGAAACTGAGGTCAGGTTCTTGTCCTTGTTTTGAAAACCTAAATAGAAATCTTTGAAAATCTAAAGTATCTACTTACTCATTCTCAATATTGCAGTAGTGATTTGCATCAATAAGACTAAAATGTATTGCAGCACTAAGTAGCTTAACATGGACAGTTTTTACAAGATCTTTTATGGATTAGAAATATTAAAGTAGCTTATAAGGCTAAGATCAAAGACTTCACATACCTCAAACTTCTACTTCATTGTGTTTAAATAGGATGGCACTTGTTCAAAAAAAATATCCGGTCAACAATTTTGCTGAACGTATGCTAAAGCATTTTCACTTTCACATGAAATTACCATTTCCATGTTGTTCCTCATCTTCTAGAGCATCATTCTTTCCATCGAAACAAAGACACCGGGCTCTGAAGGTTTAAATCTATTTCTTGGCAACATATGTTTACATCTCTTAATGCCAATCATCCTTCCTAAACTCCGTAGATGCCAACAATTCCTGAGCGCCTGTGTGGCTTACATGCCAAGCATATGTAACTGAAAACAAACCATTAAAAACCTCTATGAAGCGTGTCTATGGAGACGATTGTGTGTATAAAACACAAGGTTGTTTTTTTTGTGTGTGTATAGGTTATGTGGCATATAGAGTGACAGTGTGGGCTTGAAAGGAGCACATAATAGACCCGGTTATGCCCCACTGTTAGGAGGGAATAGCCTGTTGGAAATAGGGTTGGAGTTAGTATTTTGTGATTGGGTTATTCACTTCCTGTATAACATGAACGGTTTCCTCCTGCAGCCAAAAACAACAGGAGATACCATAT